ACTAGAACTCAGAGGTCCCAAAAAGACTGACTTGTATTAGGCACGGTCCTCACTTGTACCAGGCACTGTTTCTACTATTTTTGTTAGTTTATTGATTAGTCATTCATCTAATATTTTCTCAAATAAAATTACTGCCAATAGTCATTAGATGCAAGATAAATGTTGTTGAATAAGGAAAACGCGTCATTTTTTTTTTCTTTGGTTGTTTAAATTTAAATGTGTCTGGGTTTTCGGTTTTTTTGATTGGAGTAATTTTTGTATGCAGATAGGATATACATCATGTGGTACCTTCTATTATTGTGATTGACTTTAATAATAGGATTCACTATATTTATGTTGAGTGTTTGGAGAACAATAAAAAACATATATATATGTGATTGATGTAAGATAATGCCATATGATATCCTATTAACATACAAAAATTTCCCCTTTGATTGATTGAGAAAGAGGAAGGTGGGTTGTAAAACTGTCTTGAAAGAAACCATTTTGTCATCTTCTTAATGTGTCATTGCTTTCATTTTGTCATCGTGAAAGAAACCATTTTGTCATCGTGAAAGAAACCATTTTGTCATTGCTTTCATCGACCACGCAAGAGTTCAAAATTGGGTGTTTTAGCGATAGATCTTCATAATAAAAATTGTTATTTCAGTATAAAATTTATACAAAAAAAATTAACAAGAATAATATGACATTTTGACATTCTTATACATAAATTTATTTTTATAAATTTTTTATTTTAAAGTAAAAAGTATACATTGATTTAAGGGAGATTGATCAATAAGTTTTATATTTTGAATTTGTAATCCATATAGTCCCATATTTTTTCTTGTGATCCATTTAGTCATTTTAGATGTGTAATGACTCATTTGCCCGCCACATTAGAGTGTCACATTTGGAAAAAGTACACTAAAGAGTTTTTTAGTGTTATACTATACCCGTCACGTTAGAGTGTCACCGTGCCTTCCTTAGGGCTTAGTCCCAAGGAGGTCATGGGTTCAATTCTCCTTAGGAGGGTTGAATTATGAAAGTGCTTGCACTTAGGTGCTTTGCCAAGGGTGGAGAGATTTTCTTCCATAGGTGCTAATCTAACAACTAACAATTAACATTTGCTGATAAAAAAAAAAATTGTGTCACATTTGGAAAAAAATACATTAAAGAGTTTTTAATTTTTTGAGAGTGTCACATCATGCTTGCCACATTAGAGTGTCACATGTCACATTTGGAAAAAGTACACTAAGGAGTTTTTAATTTTTTTAGAGTGTCACATCATACCCGACACGTTGTCACGTTTAAGAAAAGTACATTAAGGACTTTTTATTTTTTTTAAAGTGTTACATCATACCCGCCACATTATTACATTTGGAAAAAGTATGCTAAGAAGTTTATTTTTTTTGGAGTAAAAGTTTTAGAGTGTCACATCATACTCGTCACATTGTCACATTTAGAAAAAGTATATTAAGAAATTTTTAATTTTTTTGAAGTATCACATCGTTAGAATGCCACATTAATACTTGTCACATTGGAGTATGACATCATATCTGTCACATTAATAAAAGGGTATAGTTGTCTACCAAAACACTACCAAAATAAAAAATAAGACCACACGGAAAGAAACTCTTCATTAATAGGACTTAACAGATCAATAGAAAAAACTTGAGACTAATTGAAGCATTTGTTTGTGAGGTGAAATTTATTGTTAAATATATTCAGATTGTATAAATAACTTCTTTTTAAAAAAAATTTATTAACGCCGCCATTGGATACAAATTTCTTATAAATTTCTTCTCATCTTCCTAGTAATCTCTCTCATATGTATTTATTATCAATTTACTCAAAGATAAAGGGAAGAAGAAAGACCAGGAAAAGTCAGTTTGTGATCTTGTTTGTGGTGAAAGCAAAAAGTTGTCATCCTCCGACTCTCTTTACTTGCCTATTATTGGTATGTGAACCTTTTACTCAAATTAAGCTTTCAATAGGACTAAACTTCCTACTAATGATTGAGGGATATGATAATCCTGGTGATAATTACTCAAATTTTGATTACATCTCTGTCGGTCCCATTTTAGTCGGCCCAAGTTTGTTTTATTATCTCTAAATTAAAACATACCTCCTGAATTTTTATTAATTATGGACCTAAAAGAAATGAAACCTATCTCGTTTGAGAGGATTGTATCTAATTTTGTGATCAATTCTCATGTTTTAGACTTTTTCTTTACCCCCTCTTATTTACCTGAAGCCCCACTTCACATAGTTGAAGGGGTATGTTTAAGCTCATAGAGATCCTAAAAAACCTCTCAGAGACTTGCATTAGACACCGTTCTCACTTGCCCTGGGCACAATTTTTTCTAATTTTTTTTTATTAGTTTCTTGATTTTTCATTCATCTAATATTTTCTCAAATAAAATTACTGCCAATAGTCATAGATGCAAGATAATTGTTGTTGGTTCATTATTTATTTATTTTGAGTCCATTATTTATTTATTTATTGTTATTACACCAGCAATGATTGCCTTTGATTTCTTTCAATTTTTGCTTATCTAAATTTTTAAGTGTTATTGATGCCCCCAGAGATGTCTACACCGGCCTTCTCCAGCCCTCCACCAGCAGAGAGTGGTGGGGCATCTGTTGCGGTAACTTTGTTCACTAGAAATATAAGTTACCAAAAAGAAATTACAATAACATGATTTACTTCACTATCCATTTCCATTTTTTAATAGTCGATCTGGTAGTACTCGTAACCATTGGCATTATCTCTTTGGCTTGCGCAAGGATGACAACAAGAGCAATTGTTTCAGATCTACCAGCAAGTGTTGCTCCTCCACCACACCACCGACCTTGAATGTGGTTCAAGTTTGGGAAATCGATGTGCCAACAATGGAGAGGTTCCTCCAAGAATTGGCGAAGGACAGACCGGTTAAGATCCTACATCCGTCCCTATCTATGCAAAATAAGAATTTGAAAGGAACTTATTTTACCTAATATTTTTAGTATCTGACGTTTTATTAATAATTCATGAAAGACCCATTAGTCTAACAATTGGTGATGTGCAATTTAAGTGGCTAGTAAAAATGATTAATAGTAAATTAGACTGATATCCTTTGGTAGTCTCACTAATGTAGCATTTTCCTAAAGACAAACAAACTAAAAAAAGTCAAGCATTTTACTTTACCGCACAAATTACATACTGTAATATTGCATCTCATAAATCATTATTAAAGACAAACCAAGAAAAAAAAAAATGACGGCGTTTGTTTTCTTTAGGGTACAAATTTCAAAGGTTTCTCATTCTTTAGCTTGAATTGGCCATTTGTATCTTAGAATTAGCCATGATGGAAGTGGTCTCCTTGTACCAATATGTATTACTTTCTTCACTGTTTGTATAGTCTGAACTGCTTGTATGGTCTGAATACAAATAATGAAATGGTTTAGGAGGTGGCTACACCTCCACTTCTCCATCCAACATTTTCACTGCAACACTCATCAGCAGCCTAGCCTAGGGCGAGTCCTGAACACACCACAAAGCCACCATAGCTATTCTCTCTACTTTCTCTCTGTTATTCTCTTCGATTCCACACGACAACAATGCCATCTCTCTCAACTTGCCTTTCTCAAACTCATTCCATACATGTTTTGGGAACCAATCCAAGCTCTCATCAGCTCCAACTCTGGTATTCCTCTCCTCTCTACTATCTCAAACAAAAGCATACAAAAACTATAAACGTCATTTATTTGTAATGGGATAGGTCTTGAGAAGAAACTCTGGAGCTGAGTAACCATGAGTCCCTCTATATTCTTTGGGAGAGTCATGTGTGTTGTTTCTATTACAAAGCTTTGCCAGCCCGAAATCAGCTACTTTGGGGGGAAAATTGGCATCTAGCAAAACATTACCGGGCTTTTATCTCATAGTGAATGATCCTTGGTTGACACTCTTCGTGTAGGTAAGCAATACCTTTTGCTGTCCCAATCACAATCTTATGCAGATTCTCTCGCTCAATTGCTTGTGTATCATTGAAAAGGTGTTTATTGTTGGAAACTAATGGTTTTCAGCAACTTTAATTCGAAATTAAAATGGGATCCAACCGCCGGTTGAGGTAGGTCTGAGTGGTTTTGTATTCTCTCAAATGAGAAGATTACATTATAAAAATGATGGGTCGAAACCATTGAGTGGTGAATGAGAATTGTCTTATAAAGTGGGCAGCAATAGAAGTTGGGCTTGGGCCTAGGCCTGCACTTGGACTTTGTTTGTCTCTATGTGCATGTGTGAGACTTAGTCTTGGGCATGGGCTATGTGCTATGCTGGACTGGGCTTGTCTTGTGCATATGTTTTAGACTGGGTGTGGATCGAGTTGTGACTCAATATTCATATCCATTTTGCGATCCATCTAGTTGGATTATTTAAATAACATTATGTATATATATATATTTATTTATTCAACCTTTGTAACTCTAATCTTTTGATAATAGAGTTGATGATCATTATGCACATGGGAGTTTTATACCTTTGTAACTTTAACCCTAAAGGCTAGAGTTGATGGCCATTGATGCTAAGTTTTATAGTAGCCTTCATGACTAAGACCTCTTCCCTACAAGTATAAAAATGTCCTTTCCCCTCCAACTTAGAGGAGGAGTTTTAGAGAGATTTTTGATGGAAAATGGAGATGTTGTTTTGAGATAAAAACAAAAAGTTGGAGATGATTTTTTACTCGAAAGAAAAATTTCCTATCTTCTTTTGCTAGTCCCTTCTTTGGTTCTTGTTAGAGAGAGTGTAACTATTATCAAGTTCGCTGAACCTATTCAGAAGGTTCTTCTGCATTAGCTGGTTTCGACTGTCGTATCCTGGGAGATAGACGCCACACCTTCAGCATCCATCGGGAGGCGGTGAATCTGTTTTAAGGAAACTGTGGTATCACACAGGCTTCGGTTTGCTTCTTTTTGGTAGTTTTATTTTATTATGAATTTTTGTAAATTCCACCATATACTTGTTTATGAAATTCCAATTGTTTGTTCAATATAAATCTATTTGTTTTATGTTATCACACAATTTGTACAACATTTATCTAGTGAACGATTTTCCATGTACTCGTACACCAATGCGCTCATAAATTTGTTATGGCAAAAACCGTATTGCCTAACTAGATTTATATGGTATGTTCTTCCAATAGTGCTTACCTCTGCCATGAATTGTTCCTTTGCTCCTCTATTATTCGATTTCCTATTACCTTAACTGCAATCTTAACTCCATTTGGAAATTGACCCTTGTAAACAATCCCAAAACCGCAAGAACCCAACCTCGTAGAATAATTAGTTGTGAAATTACATAGTTGTTGGGCTGTGAATCTAACTGGTTTCTTCTTCGCCAAGTCTAGGATGAACCTCTCCATTGTTGGTGCTTCGATTTCCCAAACTAGAACCACATTCAAGGTCTGTGGTGGAGCCACAGTTGTTGGCAATTTTGGACCAATTGCACTTCTTCTCATTCTCCTAGCCCAAGCCAATGAGATAATGACGATGACTACAAGTACTACTACAGACACTATTATGTCTGTAAATTGACAAAAAAAAACTAAGAAAAACAAACAATCATCGAAATGGTGACATTTTGGGCTCACAATTAAGTCAAATCTTAGTGTTTGTATAGAGTAAATTACAGGTTCTGTAAGGTTTCGATTTAAACAATTTGAACCTCATATTTTCAATTTTGCTACAATGTTATCCCTCTATCATTAGCCGCTAAATATTTTGAAAGAAACAAACCACATGGAAAATTATCAAAGTGTAAATTACATCAATAATCCCTATAGTTTCTTGTGAATTTCACATTGGCCTCTTTAATTTTACACCTAATATTTTTCTTTTCAAAATTCTTATGATAAGTGACAGACAGTTCGCATTACAACAAAACTAAAATTATATGGTTTAAATTGAAACTGTGAGGACTAAAATGAAATTTTACTAAAATTAGAGGGACCAACATTATCATTAATCTGTTGATATATTGTTATTGTATTAATTTGAGAAATTACAAAAAAACAAAAGAAAAAAAGAAAAAGAAAAATCTCAAAATTTGATACTAATAACAAGTTAAATTCTAAATCTTTAATTTTTTCTAATGAACTCCAAGCTTCTAAATTGATATCAATTTCAACATTCCATCTGTCTGTAGAGTTTGGAATTCAAAATGATTTTTTAAAAAAAAAAAAAAATTAAGATTTAATTTGTTACATGAGTTTTTTTGTTTGGAAAAATTAAATTGTTAGTCCTTGTAATTTAATCTTCATGTCATTTTGATCCTTATAATTTCAATTGAATCAATTTTGATGTTGAATTTTATAATTTGTCTCAAATTGGTCCAACTGTTAGCTTCTTTTTTATTTTTTTTAATTTTTTTATGGCATATGAACATATGAACAACACGTGTCATGCTTTTAAGAGCAAAATTGTAAACTTATCAATTCAATGACTTAATCTCAACTAATTCAGTGAAATTTTTTTGTTAAAAAACCTATCGGCATTATCAATTAGACCAATTGACGCAATATTTAAAATCAATGATAAAAATTGAACCCATTGAAATTACAGGAACCAAAACGACAGATGATAAACGTAGGAATTACCAGTGTAATTTATCTTCTTTTTTTGTTGTTGTAAATTTTTTTTGATGGTAAATTACACTTAGTCTCACTTTGTCCCCTAATCTTTTATGAGTGGTAGACAACACCTCACATGGTCTAGTTCTAATTCAACCCAAATAGCAGGTGAAATTCATATGGCCACTATCGAGACAATATAGTTAAGGACAAATTATACTTTATATCCAGTCTCACTTTACCTCATAACCTTTAAAAAATTGACAATAAACATCTCACACTTTTAGTTAAGTTCCAATCCAACCCATCTATTAACCCACGCTGGGCACCTTATTTAATGTAGATTAACAAATGAATTTGACTGAAACTTAACCGAAAGTAAGAGATGTTGATTGTCACTTTTTAAAGGTCAAAGGACAAAGTGAGATTGAGTATAAAGTGTAAAAGTGTGAAATGCAATTTTTCAAATTTTTTTTTTTTAAACAACTTCAACTTGATGAACTAACTTACCAGCAGCTATTGTCCCAGCGTTGCTGAAGATGTGTCGGGCGGAGGAGGGTTGGAGAAGTCGGCCGAAAAATTGCTGATGGAGACAGGTGTAGACATCTCTGGGGTGGGAATCAAAAACACTTTGAAAATTCAATTCAAATGAACCAACATTGATTTCTTGGGTACAATTTTTTGACATTTATCATGCATTTATTGACTGTTAATGGAAATTTTATTTGGACAAAGTTTACTATATAGAAAAAGGCTAAACACTTGCTATTTAAGTTTCGCAATTCACCCTTAATGATATATGATAACAGAGTTAGGTCTTACATGATATAGTTTGTGACAAATTAAAAATTAGACACATAATTTGTTATATCATTGTGAATAAAATTGTACAACTTAAATTGTGAGTTTCAATTTTTTTTCCTGTCAAATTAATTTGAAATGGAAAACTAATTATAAATTGGTCCAAAAAAGATATATGTGGGGAATGAAATCCTGCTTACCGTGCCCCCTGGTCTCACCTTTCGCAAAAAAGAGGGAGTTCAATATATTAGTGCTTTAAACTAGTATACAAGGACTAGCAGATTGTAATTTGACGTGGAGCCCAGTACATAACCCAGCTGGTGGAGTCCAGAACAGCTGGAATCCAACATGGCACAAAGAGCTAATGACATTCAGACGTATGGCAGGCAAAGGACAAGCCACATCAGCAGACAAAGATCTGCAAAGTTATTGCTACTGCACATCACCATTAATGCAGCCCATCACAGCATTTATTACGACAACACCTCTCCGTCGGAACAACACTACCTTACCCTGAACAAGGTAAGCTACAGCATAGACTTTCGGCGAGGAGGGCAGGTCGGAAGAGACAGCGAAATGATTACCAAAGGATATAAGCAAACGTTGAAGACAAGAAGAAGGTTAAGCTTTTCTATCTCTAATCTCGCCTTCTACACTCTACTTCTCTTCCTAACTTGCTCATCGGAGGGTTCACTGGGGGACTATCCCGTTCCCCGTTGAACTTGTTTGCAGGTTATCCGGTGCGCTTGATCATTTGGACCTGGGCTTGAGGAGCTTGGACCAGTCCGATCCATTCACTGGGACAAACTGTATCATCATAATTGAAGCACTATATAGTATAGACTCCCATTTTTGTCATTAAAACTGTCACATATTTATGGAGAAACCAGATCATCTATTCTTAAAACAGTAATATTAGAGATTAAAAATTCATATATAGAAAAATATCAAGAAAAAACTAAATTCAACTCTTGTATTGTGGAACTCATGCACTCTTAGAATAGAAAGATTAGAAAAAAAATGATTTTTGAATGTCTATTTTCTAGTGAATTAAAAAGTTAGATTTGATGACTATCATGTCATCATGTCATTTTTCCTTTTTCAATCTGATGATTAGATTATCCTTTTATCACACTTCTTAATTTAGTAGAGAAAGTAGATTTGAAAACCATTTTTCTAGTCTTTCGTAAACAATTATACATGATTCTTTATGTTATTTTCATTAATAATGTTAGGAACGCACTACATAGAAATATATTGATAAATATGATTTTCTAGATATATATTACAAATATTATAAAATTATACCTATTCATATATTTTATGTGCTTTATAAAATATTCATGTTTCGATTAAAAAAAAAAAGAATCAAAACATATCCTCGAATTGATAAAAATAAAGAAGGGAGATTTAGCATAAAACAAACTTGGGTTAACTAAAATATCTCATTGAATGTTCATTAATTAAATTTTAAAATTGGTCTAATTTTTTACAGGGTAAAACCCCTATCATGAATTAGAAGTTTAGTTCTTTTTTAGAGCTTAATTTGAGTAAGAAATTCACAAACCAAGAACAACCAGCAAGTGTACATTTGGGTTGAGAACTCTGCTTTCCCCACCAAATGCAGACTAAACTTGCCTGTTTCTTTGTTTCTTTCTTCTCTTTATCCTTGGTTAAACTGATAAATAAATGTAGATATGAGAGAGAGAGAGAGAGAG